CTCCGATATCTGATCCAGTAATTTAGTTCAGTATCAGACCAATGCGGATACATAATATCGGATCGGTCCATCCCTAATTATTGCTGGGTCTTTTTGCTTCCACATACTGCAATTAAACTATGTTACTGCTTTCTCATCATGCTCCAGAAAAATTATTTCTCTTTATTTGTGTAAAGTAGGGTTATAATTAATGATTGGGTGTGTTTAATTATTGGCAATCTCTTTTTTTGTGTGCATTTGCATTATCAAAGTAATCATGTCTGAAAAAACCTGTAAAACACAGAATGGATATTTTGTAGCTGCTTTTGATTTTAGTTTTAGTTTGTTGACCATTTTATTTATTTATTTAAAATAGCATGACATTTTGAAGTCCCTTGTTTTGTACAGTTTTTTATAGTCTGATGTTTTCAGTATTTTCAGATATATTGCAGACATTTTAACAGTTTGCTGTAAAATGCATAATAATTATACAGTAACTGTTACATTTAAATTCAGATTTCATTTAGAGATGCTGTAATGGTTCCTTCGGATTAGGCTTTGGTTGCTGTGGATCAGTGATGTGTTTTCCTGTGCTTCTGGGAGTGAGAAGGTTTGAACTAGAACTGGGACACCACGATAGAGGCTTTAGTGGCTACTTCCATTAGGCCAGGTTTCATAATGTTCCATATCTGTGTGATAAAAGAAGAATGGAAACTTGGAGGAAAAAGAAAATGCTTAAATAGGGCACAGGTGTAGACATTTTACAGTAAAACAATGGAGCAACAGTATAATGGCAACCAAACAGTTGACAGTAATCTACTGCAGATCTTATATTCTATACATTACAGTGCATCATTTCTTTTACAGTAAGAAACTGTTTTTATAGATTACAGTAAACACACTGTAAAATGACTTGTCATTATTTTACAGTAAAGTAACATGAAATTTTACTGAAGCAGCACCATTAAAGCAACAGGCGCTCACAAGCTGAAATTAGCAGGTGTCATTTTTACATTTATTAATTCAAGTTCCACATAATGAACCTGATTCAAACAGCATTCCCACACCGTACTTATTACTCTGCGTTATCACAGAATCCCCGGAGAGGCTTCTGTCAGCTGCAACATATTCTGAGGATTTTTTTTTTGTTTATTTCTGTCTTTGTAGCCAAGTTTCTTCCTTGCTGGTTGTGGGTGTTTGTTTGTTTGCTGAACTGTGTGTTTGTGCTTTTGCCTTAGGTGTTCGGGGGGCATTGAGGCGATGCAGGTCCCTCGGTCATCCCAGTGGAGGAGCCAGCTAATGACAAGTATCTTTGGCTGCTGAACGCCCCCCCCCACCACCACCATCACCACCACCCTCATCCCTCCTACCCTCCATCCATCTCTGATGGCTCTATGGGGCATCCTCAGCCTCAGCCTTCACTGCTGGGTGTGTTTATGGTCCAGTGTAACAGCAACAGCAACATCAGCCAGCCTCCCAAATGACAAACCCGGGGGACCCCTGGACTGGCTCCTGTCTGATAAGGGGCCCTTCCACCACTCCCCAGAGTACATCGACTTTGTGGAAAAGAACCGACAAGGTTTCTCCACCAGATACAAGATATACAGGTGAGTTGTGACTGCAGCACGAGGAGATGCTTTTACACTGTATTTACTACTGCCAAATCGCTACCCTATTATATGCATGACAGATCTCACAGCAGTCGCATCAAATAGTCTCTGTGGTTGTCCTTTGAAAGATCAGCTGTGTGTAAATAAGGCCACATGATATCGATGTTAATGTGTTTACATTTTGAGGTTAGTCACAGTCTCAGCATTTTGTTAACTCCAGGCTTCTGTGTACAGTCAGTATGCACATGCTAAACACTTTAACCGCTAACAGAGAAAGGCTGACACCAAACTTATTTAGCTTGTGAATATATTGCACCTATTATTACAATTTAAAAGTCTTAAAATATATAAAAAAATCAGCTTATTTTGATTCAATGCAGTTAGCAACCAACAATCTAGCAAAAGACACAGTTACAGTAGGCAATACATTCATTGTGTGGCCTATGCACTGATTTTGGGACTGTTCAAAGAAAGAGACATTGACAGTGACTATTTCCTGTAGGTACCACCGGGCAATTATCAGTCTGCTGTTACGTATTTTGTGGTGTGTAATAAGAAAGATTTACACATGTACTCCTCATAATTAATGTGAAATGTGAATTTCGGCAACCTGAGAGCTAAATAAAAGTCCTTTACTGACCCACATAAAGCACTGTAGTGAAAATGATAATGCTTGCAATGAAATGAAGCCGCTTCATGTAAATGAAATGATGGAGATGAGGAAGGAAAGGAGTAAACATTTATCTGCCATGGTTGGAAAAGCTTTTAAAAGCATGCTCATACATCTGTTGTAGAATACACGTAAGCGACAAGTCAAAGTTAAAGAGAAAGATATTGCAGGGGGATTTTATTCTGAAAATACACGTTTCAGGGTACCAAGGGTTTTTAGGGCATCTTCCATTCCTTGTTTTCTATTTTTACAACGTGTATGGGAGGAGAGAAAATTTAACATAACTGTAGAGCATTTGGTGGGCAGTATGCTTTATGAAATCCCTGTTCATGGCTCTTTAATACACAGACTGTATTATTTGGCTTGCATTGTCATGCATTAAAGCATCCTCACAGCACAGTGCTCACAGGATAATTGACACGCCTAGACAGAATCATGATGTATTACATGCACGCACGCTGCTATCAGCTGGTTCTATATCACATTCTGCTGCTCTCCAAACCCTCGGGGAGTCACCTGATCAGGTGGTCAAATGAGATCTGTTGATTAGCACTGTAAAAGAAGAAAGATTTGCCATGACAGCACAGTCAGAGGTATCGCCACGCGACCAAATTAGTGGAGATTGTGTCATGAATCATATCCGTCGTCGTTTAGGAGGATGTTGTCCAGGCTTCTGGAAATGGACAGACGGGATTCCTGTCATCTACGGATCGTTGTAAGGATGCTTTATGGCTTCTGTGATCGGTTGCTGCGTTCGAGCTTTTTAATATTTCCTTCCCCGGCAAAAGGCAGTGGTCTGCTGGAGCTGAGCTGCATGGGCGGCAAGATTAATAGTCTTATCATGTGGCCAAGTGATTAGTGAGCTCTTAGTACTTATTACTCTGCATTATCACAGAATCCCTGGAGAGGCTTCTGTCAGCTGCAAGGTTGTGTTTGAGGCCCTCTAGATTACTACAATGCGGCATTGATTAATAGTGATTATATTAAAAGGAAAAACCAACCTAAAAAGTAAATAGCCTGTAAATCTTCCCAAATTGAATTCACTTGGATTCAGTCCCATTTGATTTCAGTAACCGACACAGACATTAGCGGATACAGCTGCGTGTTTTTGTTCTAGCAAAAAAAACAACAACTTCCTTTTCAGTCCCAGTGTTGGGGGGTGAAGTGTAGTGATGAGTTTGGGCACACACACCTGGACATAGCTCATAAAAAATTCAGGGAGGATTGTTTTATTAAAGAAATGTGGGCCCGCTGCAGTTTTCTCCCAAGGGGGTCAAACCACATGGTTATGCCCCTGTTGTGTTACAAATGTCCTTAAATTTCCAGTCAGGCTATTTCTGTACTACAAGAACAGATCGCTATGCACTGTTAAGGTAGTCACTGACCCTTTTTTGGCCTGCGAAAGATTAAATGAATCCTACTTACTACTCCTCAAAACCAAAAGATAGCGAGCACATCTTCAAAGACTGATGTTTGCATTTATTTAAATAAAAGGGACCTAAATAGGTGTGGTGTTGATTGGTTGATTGGTTTTGATTCAGCTTTTTTATTAGTAATTGAGCTGGGTATTTCCTCAAAAGTTACAATCCTGTCTAAACTTTAAATTGCATTTAAACAGAATACAATTATTGAAATTTCATGAACCCATATTTTATTCATAATAGAACATTGGAAATTTATTAAGTGCTTTCACTGAGAAAATGTACCATTTAAGAAATAATAAGCTTGTTTTGAATTCAGTATCTCAGAAAGGTTGGGTTATGGCAACAAAAAATTGAGAAAAGTCAATGGTATAGGTCAGGAACATGATTGGGGGTAAAAGGAGCATCTTAGTGAGACAGTTTCTCAGATGTAAAGATGGGCAGAGGTTCACCAATGTGCAAAAATCTCCCTAAAGACTTGTTTAAAAAAAGAGGGGATGCTACACAGTGGTAAACATGGTCCTGTTCCAATCTTTTGAGACATGTTCCTGCCATCACGTTCATGATCGTATTTTCTTTTTCAGTTCTTATTTTTTTGCACTATGTCACTAAAACATGTTTTTATTTACATTTTACACAATGTTTTTGGAACTGTGGCTGTATAATAGTAATTTACATTATTTCTTATATCCATAATGCAATGTTGGAATATTGTCCACTAGCAGCTACACAAGGTAATGTTTAATTTGTATGGCAACATAGTTTTGTCATTTAGAAAAATCTGACCACATTATATATACAATCAGTCTAATAAAAATTTACTGAGGAATTACAGATTTCTTTATTTTATTTTTAAATTAGACTGTATTTAAAAGTTGGAACTACCACCCTGCGGTTAGAGATTTACCACTGTGTAGCCTAGAGTATTAAACTTTTTGCTATTGTGACTCATAGGAGGGAAAACCTGACTATTAAATTGCTTACTGGCTGTAGAAGTATAACTGGCCAATCCTTAGTATTTTCATTATGACTTTAAGTGATAATTGAACCAGTAACCAGTATAAATTTGGTCAGCTGGTCATTCCTTCTTCTATATGAAGTCATTTTGTAACCTGAAGAGTCATCATTGCTGACAATTAAATATAATACAAGTTTAAGCACATGGTTTCACTCTTCAGACACACCACCACCAAGCAGTTACATATTTTGCCAGTATACATTGGTGTTTTCTGGTTCAGTACTAACTAGAATATTTTCCAGTCCATAGTGTTTGATATTGGAAATGCATATATATATATATATATATATATATATATATATATATATATATATATATATATATATATATATATATATATTTTTTTTTTATTTTATTTTTTTTTTTTTTCGGAACTGCTCAGCATTATTTTGCTACCCCATTAGTGTTTGTTCTGGAAGTTGCTGAGCTGAAGCTCTGGTCATCCTACACCGCCTTGTCACTTGAATACATTTAAATGACTTTTGTGTGGAGATAAATATTCCTGGCTTATCTAACACAAACCTTGCAGTACCTCTCCAGATGAGACAAGCCCAAAGGTGCTTTTACTGTAACTACTGTCACTACAAGCAAATTGCCTTTCAGCTCAATCATTATCTGCTGCCTATTATCATTATTATTAGTAGCATTAGCAGATAAAACTAATGGATTCCTTATAGCATATTATATTATAGCTGTGTTTATTCAATGCTCATTGTTTTAAGAATTGCACTAAATTCCAGATAAAATCCTTTTTGCTGTATGAAGTGATTTGGGAGCTATTAAAACTGTTTTGCACTAAGTTTGCCATCGACATGCAAAAACATTTTTTTTAATATTCTGTAATATGCTCAGTGATATGTGAAGTGATCTTGGTGATCCCATAGTTTGCAGATTAAATAAATATTGTTGTTCCTCCTTTTATTTGGTGCGAGATTTTGTAGATGTGTCTTGGTAGTAGGATGCTTCATTTTGATGAACATTTTTATTTTATTAAATGTCACATGTAACTCATCTGTCTGCCTATGCAGAGAGCAGTTCTGCATAAGCCCTTTAAATTGGGTTGTGGTGGGTTACCAGATTTTGTGACAGATGAGTTCAAAGTATACGTATTATGTGGAGTGTGTTAGATTAGAAAGATTAGCTGGCAATTACACACACACACAAAATAGAATTCGACTTAAGTTATGAAAGTAATAACAGATAGTTTTGAAATAACAGAGAACCTCTGGAAACACAGAGGTGTTGGCAAGTATTACCAGAACATTATGTATGCTGTGATTTCTGATTGAATCCCAGTATTAAAAGATCCATTCCTTAGTCTCTTCCTCAAAATGAGGACTTTATGCATAAATTAATAAGCTAGAGTAACATCAAACCTACCATAAACATCTCTCTCTTACTCCGTAAAATAAAATGTAGCTTATAAACACATCCAAGAATATAATCTACTCCCAGTTTGAGTGCATCTATTTCACATACACAAACATGCCACGTGTGGAGGTTAGCTGACAAAAGACAGGTGGAGTAAAATAGCAGCATCAACATCACCGACTTACTGACATGTTATGTTACAGTAAGCAATAGACTGAACACCAAGAGCTGGAGTGAGAGAGAGAGAGAAAGAGAGAGAGAGAGAGAGAGAGAGAGAGAGAGAGAGAGAGAGAAATGCATTGTCATCATAGGATGATTTCAGGCGTGTCAACTCACTTGACTTGAAATTTGCTGTTAAATGAAAAACTTTTGCAACATACAAAATAAAGTTGCTGGTGTAGCCTGAAAATCCTGACTGCTGACTAATAATAGGTGCAATATATTCACTTTCTGTTCTTCTAGTATGTTGCATGCTACTGCTAACATGTAGGGGCCCTTAGATTGATTTGTTCATGAG